TAACCTTTCAGAATTTCATTGGCTGCATTGTAAAATATGCGATTTCAATCTGAAGACCGGGTTTTTTAACGCATCCGATAGAGAAAAATTACTCAACCCACTACAAAATACCTATACCGACCGGGTTTTTATTAATTCCTCAAGTTAGCACTCAAGACTGTGAGTACACACAAGCTTCGTTGGCATGCCTACCTCCAAAACTCCATTGACCGCGCCGTAACACTACAAATGTATGAGAAAACAGCAGCTACATACGGCAGGGATGACGCATCACAAAAGGTTGCAGCCGCAGCCTCCGCATCACCGTGCCTCGGTTGCCGTGCAATATGCTCAGCTCGAGGTAGCACCGAAAGTGTATTGAGTGTCCAGCCAGAGTTTAGCTGTGGGCTTAACAAGAGAAGATGAGGGCCTAACATTAGGCAGACCTGATGCAGCATGAACAGTTCGCAGATGAATGGGTCGACTTGACAGGCACCTTCACATGAAACTGCAGATCTTCCAGCGTAGAGGATGACAATCAGAACCAACTAGAGTAAGTCTTCCCGCACGTGATATGGTGATGTCGATAGCGCTCTGGCTCCTTGCAGGACACTTCTGACAACCATAGGCAAATTATTTATAGAACATGCCATACGACACTTATATGGACGATTCACACAAATGCATCCTCAGACCATGAATACACTCTTCGATTTACTATGTTAAGTCGTGTCCAGCATTTGCTTTGGGCTATCTGACTATCGACCTCACATTCGAATTGTGTTCAGGGAAATCGGTCAATCATGGATAATGGAAATACAATTATTTTTGGGGAACAACTTTTAACGTATATTATAAAAAATGACATATGCCACATTTTTTGATTATACTTTTTTTACAACTATTATGAATAGTACAGAAAATGAATCTATACATATAAATTGCTAATATACCAATATATATATAGAGCCAGTGAGCCCGCGGTGTAGTAATTACAGCTCTGGACTTTTTACTTACATCGTTGTGAATTCAAAACGCGAGCAGGAAAAAACGGTGGGTAAGGGTCGACTGACTGACGACCGTTAATAAGGTAGACAACATTATTACAGTGTCCGTTGTCTGTGTTGTAATGTTAATGTGTCGCCATGATTAGTCGCAGTGCGATTTTCTATAAGAATGAGCCAGAAAACACAACTTGACGAGTCAGTCTTGTAGCTGCTCGGTCAGCACCTATATGCAACTAAAGGGCACATACTCGTCCCCCGTACATACTTGTTAAGGCCGTGCTCCTGACGA